AAAATTAGAAAAAGCCAATATTTTGAGTAATATATTTCGATACAATACATTTTTTTAACACAATTATTATTAGCAAATTGTATTCAAATTTATAAATAAATTATACATTCTGTGAATAATAAGTTTGTATGTAGGTTAGATTTATTTAGATATATTTATAAATATATAAATTTATTCTGTAAATAAATAAAACTATAGATACTTAAATATCATTCAATTTTTTTTTCGTATATCGTAATTCAATTATAAACTACCTATTTCACACACAGCCCATTTCGCGGTCATTTCACCTAGTTAACTTATTGCTTCAACTAGTCTAGAAGTGAGTTTATATAAATATACTTATTTCATACCATTACAATGATTTATGGCCAATTAAATGGGTGTATTTTCATTACAGTAATCAATAACCAAGAAATGAATTTCGGCTAGTGTTACGGTGAAACCAATTATATATTTATATGATGGTAAGAACTGTAAGTAAATAAAACAAGAAAACATTATTTAAATAGTAATAATTATTATTTTAATTTAGTTAAGAATTTCATGATGTAAATATTAATAGTAATGACTCGTTTCTATGATAGTCGTAGGATCGATCTTCCATCGTGTTAACTGTATGTTGTATCCGACAGTATGTTGTCTTTATTACAGGATCAGGTTTTGGTTGATTGCTCACAGTATCTTTCTCGATAACTACAGGAATTGTTCTATTAACTACTTCATGTGGAGGCCTACCGTTTGACTCTCGCACTTGCACTTTATCTAATATAAAAAATAAACACAGTGACTTTTGCGGGAATTCATTCGATTATTTATGAACTTTAAATTGATTCTATCCAACATTCTTGTTATTCAGAATGCGGAGCTCATGTAAGCCAATACCTTTTTTTTTAAAATGAATTTTAAAGGCGTTAACCACCAAGGTCATCATCGCCTTATTTCGTTAAGTATTAAATTTCATTATCCAATTTCGCAAGTTTCAGGAAATGAAACAGTTTGTCAGCATTATTCGTATTAAATTCGTAGTACCCTTTAAATTAATATTTGTATTAATTTAGTTTACATTAAGTTAGTTCTTGAAATTAAATTACTAGTTTATAGATGGAGGCCTAGGACTGAATTAGGGAGGCGTTAGGGTGGGGCAACCAGGGCAATCGCCCGACGACCTGAAGTGGCTCTCTTTAGAAGCAACAGGAGATATTCAGGGGCTCTTGCCGCTTGTAAGAAATAAAAAGAGTTACAAAACGTATTAAAATAATTTTTAGTAATTTTTAGACTACCAACCAAGTAACTGTATCAGAGAAATGTTTAAAAAAAGAAAATTCAAATATTACATAATATAAAATGGCTTAAGAAATAAATTTGATTTTTTTTGGGGAAGGGGGATGACTTCATTGCCCGAGGCCAACAAATGTTAAGGCAGTAAAGGCTGTTAGGGCATTAAAATACTAAGGCAGGAACTGTGTCCTGGCATTTGTTATCTTGCCACCTGCTATTTATGCCTCTGCGCTTTATTATTAGATATGTCATATTTTCTCAGAATCCATAGAAGGCTAATATAACAGAATTAGTAATTTGCCACTAGCAGGCTCGTACCTGGGCCTCATGTTCAGACCCTGATTTCTGATTGCCTAGCTCTATGTGAAGATGAACATTAGGTACTCCTACCTTTTTCAGTTCACCAATAATGAATTCAAGTAGATTTAAATGTATAAATAATCTTTTCTTTTACAGAAGTAGGCTGTTTATATTTTTCTTATTCAATTTAATGTCTTCCTTCTTGAATAATAAGATAAAGTTAGTACAAAATATAAGTAAGATTAGCCAATAATGTAAGGATCAATTTTAATGAAATATGTATCGAAATATTGTTTTTGTTTTTTTAAACACACAATGAAAATTTCCTCTAAAAAGTGAAATTCTTAGAAGAATATTTTAAGTAAAAGCACAAGCAGATCAAGGGGAGCAGGCTTTCGGGCTGAACCCTTCCCTCCCCAAAATGGTAAAATATAACCATGTTTAATGAAAAAATTACCTCTATAAGTATTATTGTTGATATAATTACATTTAATAGGACTTAATGAATTGCTTAAACACTATTTCATATAGGTACTTAGTTTCTTCTTGCTTCTGAAGTAATTATCGTAATATTTACACAAAAAAAAAAAAAAATCTTTCAGGCTGAAGCCCTTTCAAAATTAAATCCTGGATCTGATAGTGAGTAAAAGCAAACATGTTTTGTTGGTTTTGCAATTTGTTTTATTTATATTTGTTGGTAGTATTTAATTTACTATAGCCCTAATGTTTTGTGTAATGATTTCATTAATTCTTTCAGTTCATAATCATCTTAAAAAATTATGTATATTATTATCATTTTTCAATTTTCGTCATTATTAAAATGTGCTAAATACATCTTACAATGAAGCCTTTAAATTTATTCTAATAATTACTTCTTAAAAAAAAAAAGTGATTTAAAAACATCCATGTATTTGTAACTTTTATAAAAATAAAAAGATATCTAACAAACTCTCTTTGTAATATCTTTCTCTAAATCTTCTCCTTTTTCTCTCTCTTTTATTCAGTCATAAAATATATTCATCATCAGTAGAAGGAATGCACAAATAATTTATATAATTTATGCAATATTAATGTTGTTTCACAACATATTTTCCTCTCTTTTTTTTATTGCTAATAGTAAAAATGTATTGGCTCTTTTGTAGCTTATATTTTTACAGATTTAAGAATTTTTTTTGTTTTAAGGATCGATGATTGAGAATGTGGTGAGGATGAAAACAGTGATGACTTTATTATGGCTGTTTCTCTTGGAAAGCATTAACAATAAATGCTTTCAGATTTAGACTCATTGGACAAAAAAGGTTTCTGTTGTTTTTGTTTTTTTTTTGTGTTACATTCTCACATTTTATTTTGAATTTATCTATACTGTGATAAGGTAAAACCACACTTGTCGGCACACTATCCAGTTTTCAGCAACCACTACATTTATTGAAGAATATTAAGAGTTGGGAATGGTCTAGAGCTGATGAAAAGTGCTCATTTAAAGCATAAATCCCAACCATGCTTGCATAGTATCTCCCACTATTTATTTAGTTTTACAGGTCAAATAAATCGCTGAAAATTAGGAACCTGACAGGTGTTACCCTAAATATATGTCTTACATTTTTGACAAGAAACACATTCCTGTACAATATCATTGCAGTTCTTCATTCTGAATACAGATTTAATTCTTTAGGTTTTTGAAAATTGGGTAAGGGATACCGATCTGGTACTTCAGGATGCCAAAAACTGGAAAAATGATGCTGAAAACTGGTGCATATTGATATTTTTCCGTTTTACTATTAAAAAATAATAGAAAGACACTGTTTCATACGTATATTTTGAAGTTAGAAATCTGTACTGATTTAAGAAAACTGATATTGTTGAATTAATTACCCAGAAGATTCAAAACGGGACAAACACATCTTAAAGTTTTCTTAAGGGTGGTGAAAACTAGGAATTTTATCCTAAGTTGGCTCATTGTTTCCAATACTAAACCATTAAGACTCCAAGTCCTTCATAAATCCACAAACTCTTTCCTTTCTACATAAAACTTATAAAGAGCTTTCTTTGAAAAACCCTCCATTGGCAATGCCAGTGCATTTTAGAATTCCTAATTCAATTCCCTTCATAAAATTTTCTCTCTTGCTACTAACAAGTATTTACTTCACCATCTTAATTCCCTACCTTTTTAAAAGGTTTAAAGCCTCATTAGAATAAATTGGTTGGCAGGATGCTCAATAATTTGAAATATTTTAAAAGTTCCATCGACCAAAGTATTTTGAAAGAGACATATTCTTGACTATATCCTAAAAATGAATTAAAAGAGGGTGTTAAAAGTGCAACGCAAACATTTTATTTTAATAGGACATTCACAACTTAAGAAATAGTTATAAATATTACCATAGGTATAAATGGAACGAACAAGAACATATAAACAAATCTTACAATGTTTTTAAAAATTCATTTCTACTCTAAAATCACATCTATTAGGAGGTAAAAAGGTTTTCAAAAATATTGTGAAATACAGACATTGTTTGTACACACATCTCTCAATCATTTTTATAAATAAATCTTAATTAATATGATATAAAATAAATTATAGTATAAAGATCCTTTAATTAAAATATCTTAAAATAATATAAAATTGTAATATTTTTTGAAAAGATCATACATAAGTGAAGATCTTGTTTTACAAAATGTTTTAAAAACTTTAGGTTTCATAAAATATGAACCATTTAATATGAAAGTTACAATTTATTTTTTCTTCTTTTTTTGGAAGATATTTTACTCAATTTCATAGCAGGTTGCTTTAATTATGTAAAATAGTGTGAAGAGGTTGATAAAACATTACCCCATCATTGTGGTGAAAAATTAGAGGAAAAAAAATTCAGATTACATCTTTTAAATAAGTTAAATGTTGAAAATCTTTTTAAATTTCATTACATTAAAAAAAAAAAAACTATGCAGAATTATGTATCAGAAGAAATAAAAATGGAATTATAAAGTAGATTGAATTTCATTAAAATGTATCTAAAAAATTGATGTGAACAAAGAATAAATGTCCAAAACTTTTTAAATAATTTTAATTATTAGTCAATTGGACCTTCTGTATGAAAAACATGAAAGAAAAAGTGAAATATAATTTACTTGATTAAATGGATTTATATCCCATTTAATTTAGTCACTTAAGTTTTAGAGGGCAATAACCTATCTCTCCATAACTTTTTAGGGTTAATTATTATAAATATTACAATTTTTTTATGATTTATTTTTCATATTAAATGGCCCAAATCATTAATTACATTATTTTTCTAGATTGTTATAAAATTACTACTTAAACATTTATTGAATACTCTTTCTTTATAATACTGTTTTAATTATACATTCATCTTTGAAAATAAATAACTTCTATTCACAATAAATAACTGTATCAAAATTGATTCTAATAAAACTTGGTTTAACTAAATTCTTATTGCACTTAGTAAACATTTTCTTCAATGAGAAATAAATAGTTTCACATTTTCTCGCTTGATATTTTTCTCACTTATTAAACAGATCATTTTGTTTGATTTTATTATTTAACTTTCAAATTCTTTTAGCCTGTTATTCCAATCGGGAAATGGTAAGTTTAGATGTTCCGATTCTGGTAGGATACCTACAAGATAATTTTGCAGAGATGCCATTGGCACAGAGTCATGACCAGCTCCTAAAAATGCGAGAGAAGCATCTCTACCAGCATATTCTAATAAAACCTCGTAACCACCAGGATGCTGAAAATAATTATAACTTGTGTTTAGTATTCTTTTATAATTACAAAGAATGTTTTTTAAATAGTTTTAATGCTGTTTAGATGTTATATTTCAGTTTTTTAGAAGTAGAATTTATAAAAGATATTTAATATAAAAACTAATGAGGTCAAATTACATGATTAGATCAGTTCCAGTTTAACTTTTTATGATACATTACTTACGGCTTATAAACAATGGTTTGATGTTTAATCCTAGACTCTTTATTATTGGCGAGCAAATGGAGCACATGACCTCAGTTACATAATTTAGATGATAGCATATTCAAGCTAAATTTTATTTTTAAATAAGGTAAAATATATTGGTTTTTGCATTTTGACTATTTTTGTCTTAATTTAGTTAATAAAAAAGTTTAAAGTTATGATGTTGATACTTATTTTGAAACGTATAACCTAAATTAGAGTTATAAAACTATTTACTACGGGAGGGGGAGTGTGAAAGAAAGAAGAAATAATTTATCTTGCTCCCAAGGACCAAAAGTCATAGTTCTGTCCCTTCCTTTATTTTAAGCATAATAGTAATAATAATGTTCCATTCATTGCCACTACACTTGGCAAGTATTACATCAGATCATTGGTTTGTAATAAATTTAAATTGGCTAGTTGAAGGATTTTAACTGTGCAGAAATGGACTACATTTTTTGTCCCCTTTGTGCTACTGTATATAGTTGGATATAATTATTTATTATTATTATCACTGTTGACTCCTGGTGGAGCATAGGGCATCTACAAGAGTCTTTCATTCTGATCTTTTTGCAGCAATCATTTTTGCCTTTAGCCAAGTTTTTTCAGCCCGGTTCAAGTCACTTTGTACAGATCTCCGCCATGTTACTCTTAGTCTTCCTCTTCTTTTTGTTCCTAGAGGATTCCATTGTAGTGCTTCTGTTTTTATGGTACTATCCGTTTTCCTTAAAGTGTATCCAATCCTTATGATTTAAGAAATTAGCAGCCCCATCACTCGGTCACAGCACCGCATATAGCTACTGGTCATCCAGGTTGGGAGAACGGTGCACTGACACACATACATATGCACTAATTACAGCACACTACATTCACCCTCACACTATAGACAAAAGTCAAACAGTACTATAGCGTCACATAATAGGGAAATATTTCTTGAAATTTGTGCAACCTGTACCATTATTATATAAAAAGGCTACAATCTTAAAAACACTGTGTTGAATGTTAAATAAGTTGAAACAGAAATCAGTCGCAACACTGTCAGAAAAGGTTTGCTTTCAAGATTTTATACAATATGAAATGAGCCTCAAAATTGTCTCCTAAAGAGGAAATGTGATGTATTTTTGCATAGAGATGGGTTCAAGTGTTAAAAAAGGTTGGTATATATTTAAGGAATTAAAGTTTATGACTGATGAAATTTAGGGGACAGGGTGGCCGATGGGGTTAATATAATTTATGATACTAATATCCTTCCATGATTTACATATATGAAACATTATAACAGTTAGCTTATGATAAAGAAAGCCTTTATTACAATGTATTCAGGTCTTCACAAATATTCTAGTGTATTCTAAAATCCATTCTTCAAGAACCTGTTTCTGATAGTATTCATAGTTCAAAATGTCAAATAAAAATATATTGTCAACATATACAGAAATAAACACCTATATGTGAAGCATACCTAATTAGGTATGTTTTATTTATGTTTATTTCATCTCCAAGGAGTGCAGGATTTGTTAAAACCGGATTTAGTATTGTCATTGGCTTATTGAACCTCAGCATCTTTTGGAAACAACATTATCACTACAAAGAAACTCATTTAAATTTCATTATATAATATTATCACATAATATAATGTGATAATATAATAATAATGAATATAAATTCATTATTATAATTAAATTATTATTATATGATCACTACAAGTTTTGTTCTATAATGATGGTATGAATAATACTAGAAAGTCTCATTATAAGACAAATGAATACTCTCAAAAAAACCTAAGACAAACATTTCAGCATAGAATTATTAACAATTAGTCATTGGACCATTTATTTTAAAACAGCCTTAAACAGACAAGATCTATCTTCACTTTCTACTAATAGAACTTCTCATTGTAATGAAAAAAAAAATTATCTTTGAAATTGACTGCAGATGACACACCATTTCATATTAGATGGTATGTAAATAATGTTGATAATAATGAGAGAAATTATTTTAAAATAATTTGTATCGGAATAATTGGATCAGTATAGATAGTCCAGTCACTAGACCTGAGATCTCTGGACTACTTTTTTTGAGACAGATAGTTCAGTAAGAAAATGAGCAAATTGGAATGAGCTTATTTACAGTTATGAATGCGGAACAAATCAAATATCTTTTGAAATGGTGGAGCAAGATGTTCAGTCACTTTTATATAGGTCTAGACTTTATATTGAATCTGCAGGGTGTTATTTTTAACGAAATAAATTGTCTTTCTTCACTTTTCTAAAGGTCTCTTTTTTTCTTTATCTTTCACAATTTTTATTACTGGTAGGAATCTGCATTTGAAGGCATTGGTTAATTCAATTGTTTTTAATCTGACTGACATTTATGCAAGAGAAGTTTAGCACAAGTTTAACTCTGCAAAATAAATTTAACTGTGGAAATATCTATTGAAACAGTTTTCATTATCTATAATGATGAATTGTCTTATTTCAATAACTAATTTAATTGCACCACCTTGAATATTTTTTTTATTTCTTATGGATAATTAATGAATAAGAAAAAAAATATGGTAGAAGTATCATTAAGTGTTGAAATAATTGTAGGAATAGTTAGTTAGGGGAATGGTGCATTTAATTAAAAAACAAAAACAAATAAAAAACTTATTTTAATCAGTGCCAATGCTTCAGTTGAAGTTGTTGGCCTTTCTCAGTGGTAGAGATTCTACAAATGGAATCTGCCTATTTGTAGAATCTTTGCATGGGTTGTACATCTTAAGTTAAAACATTAGCACTCATTAATATTAGTTTATTTATTGTTAATCTTTACTGATCATACCCTCATCGGACCAACTTCTCTTATTGTAAAAAGAAAAAAAAAATACTGACCTCATGTAAAAATGCTGTAACATCATAGACCCTATTGAAGAGTATTATCCATATATCATTGTATGTGTCATGTAGCTGCACCTCTTTTATTGCAATTTCTTTTAATTGGCGAGTTATCATTTTTCTGTGCTTCTGCAAAAATAAAAAATGTTTTTTCTCAGAAAACTTTAATCCAGCTTCAATTCAAGAATAGAAAAGGCTTACATCTTAATTATCAGTTAAATTGGGTATAAGTTTATTTTGGTTTTTAATAAGTTACATCAGCGAAGTATCCTGATGATCTATTAATACTCTAAATTTCAGGAAGAATGATTCCCTATTCAGAATATATAGCCACTAAATTCTAAAAGGTGAGAATTATTTATGCAGTTAATCAGCCTATCTTTCAAACCAAAACTTGACTATATTCTTGAAAACACAATCACTCATCTTATATCACAAAAAATTTTATGTCACAGCGGGGATCCAAGTGTCAAACAACATTTAACAAGTACTAATAATATAAAGTTTATCCTAATTAAATAAATGTCAATAAAAAGACAAAATAGTTACATAAAAATATTCATATGAAATCAAAGACTATGAGGAAACAAAATAAAAATAAATAAATTTATTAGTGAAATAAAATAAGGAAAATACATTATGATCCTGAAGATCCTCAAAACAGAAATTTAAATGAGATTTTTTTTATTTCTTCTCCACAGCCTTGACTATAGGTCGATTAAGAAAAAAAAATTGTATTTTTTTTTCATTTGACCTATATGCAAATTTGTGGAGAAGAAACATTTTTTGAAAAATGTGAATACACAATAGGCGCTTTTATATTATTTTTAATTTATTTTTTTATCTAAAAAATACTATAACTAATTGTTTAAAACATATTATTGTAATTTATAACCTTTATCAGGTAACATATATTAATTGAGACATATTGAATATAAAATACAATATGTCCCAATTAAAATATGAGTTAGCTAAATTAAAGTATAACAAAGATATTCTATACAAAATTAAAGCTGATAAAATTTGCAATATGATTGATTATATATCTTTTTTCGCTAACCTTGCTTAGTTTCCCAAATATCCGTCCTCAACTATGGCTAATTTAAAAAAATAAATTTTTTGTTTCATGTTTATTGCTTTATTTGACTAGCTAAATCTTGATTGCTTCGTTCTACGATTAAGCCATGACAAAGAAAGTTTTTAATAATTAAATTTTCTTCAAGAATATATATTATTTTAGTTTATCTTCAACGGTTCAATAGTTAGATAAATTATAACTTTATATGTCAATGCCGAGAATTCGCAGAAAAAAATAATTTTTATGATATAAGTTATTATATTGCTCTAACTCTCTATACATTTAATCTCTACATAGATTCTCATATATACACACACACACACCCATATATATATATTTATAGGGGTGCTTATCCCCCCCTCCCCAAGATCGATGACGCAAGAATCCCTCCCTCCCACTCACAATATATTTTATTGCTCACATTTTCTTAAAAACAGAACAATCTCAGGTAAAATTTGAAAACTTGTATGTCATGCACAATTATACTTTTGGCGGTCTATTCCATGTTTTCCCTTGTGCCTTAATATGAAACTTTTCATTTCGAAAATTCGTAACCCCACCGAATCATGCCCCTCTCAAGAATTCATTCATATATATATATATATATATATATATATATATATATATGCATATTTTGAATATATATATATATATATATATATATATATATATATAAAACAACGAAAATTATATAAATTTTTTTTTTCTGCAGATTCTGATCTAAATTTTGAAACATTGGAGAAAGTGGTGGGAGGAGGGGGATTTCTGCGCCATCAACCTGGGGGGTTGATTATGTAAGTATTATAAAATAATGTGACAATATAGTATAGTCATTGTTATATTTATATTATAGTATAGTACTGAGCTATTGTTATATTTTAAATGTTTTTAATTACAGATTCAAGAAACATCTACACAAAGCTGCTGCGGTCTTCCAGAAGTCCGATACCATCTGCATCAAAGCGACAGCGAGGTAAGAATTAGTTGTAATAATATATGATAAAATTTTTTAAAAATCTGGTGTGCCCAACACACAACTTTCACTTACCGCTCAACTTTGAATATAAATTATTTTCTGGCCATGTTGGACTATTATAAAATTTTTGAATTGCATTTTTAACTGAGCTAAAGTTAAAAAATTACTGCTAACAAATCATAAACACCTTAATAACAAATGTATTATTTATTATATCACCAATTGATTATAGATTGTATGATCTGTTGATTATGGATTGCATAATACGTTAATTATGGATTGTATGACTATTAGTTATTAAACTGTTATTTTCCATTTCAAAGTTTACTAAAACGGAATTAAGAGATTTGCATTGTCTGTCATAGACAGATCAAAAGTTGTCACACTAATTGTAGGTGGATACTGTTGGAATTTGACAAAAGGAAATTTCATCAAACTACTCACTAATTTAATTTTCTAAAAGGTTACATGATGATTTTACTGGGTACTGTTGGAATATTACAAAGGTTAGGTTCATCAAATTATTCACTAATTTAATTTTATAAAAAGCTACATGACAATATACCGGATATTGATACCTAATTATTTAAATATAATATCAGATCTAGAATTATTAAACTACAGTAAATGTATTTAAGGTTATAAACATATGCTTTATACATCCATGAAATGATTTTATATTTTACTTCTTCTTTCACACAAGTACAATGAAATAGTTGTTTTAACAGTATCATTGCCTTGATGAGGTGGATTATAAATACTTTTTCAAACTTAAAAATATTTTAAAAGTTTACATTTAGTTAGTAAATTTTTTTTTTGTCTATAAAATATGTATTTGCGCCTTTCAACAATAAGTTGACAATCAGCAAATGTGATGGCGATAATGATAAAATGACATGACAGGCATGGCAACGCCTTTTTAGTCTCCTGCTCATGTTCTGAGGTATGTCAGCTGTAGCCATGTCTCTTATAAGTCTGTTATTATGTCCATTTAAATTTGTGTAAAATCGTTGATATAGGGTCGTTATATGTTGGTCAACTGTTGGAAAGAGGAGGTCAGTATGTAGAGTTTTGTTAGTCACGTACCAAGGTGCTTTTGTTATGAGTCGCTATAATTTTGATAGGAACGTTTGAAGTTTTTGTAGATGGGTCTTTTTATCGATGCCGTATATTTGTGATGAGTATGTCCATATGGGCTTAAGTAAGTATGTATATGTATTCAGTTTCTGTTTTAGTTTTAGTTTTGAAGATTTGGCAAAAAGAGAGTAAAGTAGTTTGAGTCGTTTGTTAAGTGTCATGCGTTTCATTTTAACATGTGGACCCCATGTCATCCTTCTGTCGAAGGTGAGTCCAAGGTAAAGTACCGTGTCCGTTTGAGGAATTTGATTGTTGTCAATATAAACTGGAGGACAGGTGTTTTTTCGAAGAGTAAATGTTATATGTTTGGATTTGTCATGATTAAGTCGAATTTTCCATAGTGTGAACCAATCTTGTAGTTTAAGCAAATGATGTTGTAGAGTTAGTGAGGCCTGTGTAGGGTCTTGATGTTTTGTGAGGATTGCTGTATCGTCTGCATATGTAGCTGTCAAGATCTCAACGTCAATAGGTATATCGTAAGTGTATATAACGTAAAGTAGAGGGGCTAGTATTGAACCTTGGGGAATTCCGGCCAAGATTGGACGGACTGAAGACACTTCCGAGCCCTGCCAAACTAAAAAAAATCTGTCGAAGAGGAAAGATTGAAGGATAAGATAGTAGGTGAATGGAAGTATAGTCTTAAGTTTAAAGAGAAGACCCTGGTGCCAGACTCTATCAAACGCCTTAGCAACATCCAAAAATACTCCAGTTGCATATAGTTTTTGTTCTAAAGCTCCAGCAATGTAGTCTGTAACTCTGTGCAATTGATGTGTCGTCGAATGGAATGTGCGAAAGCCGAATTGGTGGTCAGGTATTACCTGTTGGTCAGTCAATATGTCAACAAGTCTTTTGTATATTAATTTTTCAAAAACTTTAGAGCATATAGGAAGGAGGCTAATGGGTCTGTAGGATGAAGGACTGTATATGTCTTTACCGGGTTTGTGAATCATCTTAATAAGTGAGTATTTCCATTGTAAAGGGAATACTCAAATAAATTTCATTTAATTTCCTTGAAAACATGTGATTTACATTAAATAATGTTAGTTTTAAGAGATTATTATTCAATTTTTTTGTAATTCTCCGTTACCTTCTACAACTTTCTATATTAGATACGGTTTTTTTTAAAATTCTACGGTTTCCAACGATATATTATACGTATGCATTCTAACCAGTATTTCCGGATATTCATTTTCGACCTGGATAACCATTTTTATTTTTTCTCCTTTATTCAGTTATCTAATTCTTTAAAAGTTATATTTAGCATTTTTTCGTAACTCTTAATAATGAGATATAGTTAATTATTTAAAATAAACCATATTAAAGGTACTTTAGAGGAAAACGCACATGAACATTGCGCATTTAAGGCTTGTAAAGTGACATTTAAATAACTAACTAAATAACACTATTTTTATACTGTTAAGGTGGTTAATAAAAAAAAAAAATAATAGAATGAAATAAATAAATAAAGATGATTATAGAAACTTAAAGATAATAAGATAGAATAGATAAGTAAAAGGACCATTAGTTATAAACCTGTCGTATATGTTTTATAAGTCCTTGATTGTCTAGGAACTTCATAACTTCAGTAATGATTTCTTCTTGGTTTCCCAGGGATGCTGATATATTCTGGCGTTTCCTGAGATCGTATAACCTTGCTGTGTAAAAAGGGCAATCTTCCAAAACATGCTTTACAGTTAATGTCTGGCTACACTTTTGATATCTGGGGATAAGATCTTTTGTTACGAGGTGGAGGTTTCTAGTATGTCCAATCCTCAGCCGCGTGAGGACTACTTCTCTACGACTGCTGCGTTTAGAGCTGCTCCACGGTTGCACCTTTTTCTTTATTGTCTTTAATTTGCTAGGCTTGCTGTTATCCCACCGTCTTTGCCATTCTTGGAATATGGTTTCTCTTAGAGGTCGTGCAAGTTCAAATGGTGC